TACTTATGTTACTAATTAGCCAACAAGTGTAAAACAAGGTCATGGATGTCAAAGTGAACTTCGACGAGAAGTTCCGAAGCCTCGTATTTCTTATTTTTATTATATTTTCATACGCACCCATCGACACTTTTCGACTACCATTCGACTGACTTGCAAGGATTCTCGAACTTTGTCGTTTCGATTATTAGGCACTCTCGCGCGGACCTTACACTTTACGTAATTTATTCAAAGCTTTTTTTCATAGAGTTAAGAAAAGCAACTAGACTCTAGACTTGATTACAAAGCTGCAATGGGCACGCGATTTATTCTTTAATTTATTAGTCTCGGTTTACGAAATATTGCGTACTAAGATCACAATAAATTTTAATCATTAAAATACCATTATCTTATAAAATAATTGTATTATCAATTGACATGCAATTTTTAATCTTCTAATGTAAGCAGATACTTAGGCAATTAAAATATATTTTCATTAGAGAAAAAATGTTTTTCCTTTATGCTGGGTACAATTTTTACCAGTGAAATTTTCAATTGAAAAATTCAGAGGATCGATCGTAGAATTTTCTGTTTTAGATGAGTATTCAAATAATACCTTTTAGTTATAAATATTACAACTAATTTCGTTTCATAATTTTATAATTGATATAACATATTTACTTTATGTTTTGAAATTTCAAATAATTTAAACAAATTTCCTAATTTATCTATACTTCATATTTTAAATAGTTTGTAAACCCTTTTTTTAAGTAGTGTAATACGTCAGCTTAAAAGCTTTGAATCCGGATATTGATATAAATGTTTTTTTTTAGACAATCATAAATTATAATTAAAAGATTATACATAAAAGAATTATAAAAATTTAAATAATTTTACAGGAAGTAATAAATACTTTTAAATAAATAATTATTTTGATATATAAATACCATACAAATTTATGAATTCTGCCTTATTTCAGAAATCTATAGAATAATGGTTCTTAAATGTTTGAAAATAATTGAAGTTTTCTATTTAATTAAAATTATGTTAAAGCACCCGTATCTTAGATATTTCAATTACTTTTTATGATGTAATTACAAAAATGTCTATTTTTAATGTAACTTTTCAGATGCCCTTCTTTACTCTGTTATTGTTACATGATAGGTAATATTTAGTTCAAATACATAATTTTTTATTAAAGAATAAATTAATATATCAATTGATACATAAAATATACCATACACATTTTTTAAAACATGAATTTTTTGATAAAACTCATTATATTTAATGTAAAATGACTAGAACATAAAGACATGAAATAAATTTATATTGAGAAAAATATTCAAACAAAAACATTTTAGTAATGTTTATAAATAGAATTTTATGTAAACTTTCGAGAAATCAAAAGCAATTATACTCTTATTAAGTATTTATCAAATGCCGTAACTGATATATTTAAATGATAACTATAAATATATAATAATTATTTGTGAGCTAGTTCATTTTTTTCATCGCTCATCAATTTCATAATCATGATTTTTTAAAGAATATATTTTAATTTTATTTTAAGAGTATTTAAATTTGAGCTAGTGACCGACAATTGTAAAAAAATTTATTTTATTTTAACTCATTAAAAATAAATGTAAATATACAGTTGAATGATTAATTATATAATTAATTACATAGTAATTATATAGTGTATATAAGTGGGTAGTACCATGATTTCCTATTTTTATATATTATATATTTTCAAAAATGTACTTAGAGTACCTGATATAATTATATTTTGGTATATCAAAAGTATTTATTTTCACTTATATTTAGAAGAAAATTATTTGATTAAATATTTATACAATTATATATTATTTAATGAAATTTTGTTTTTAAATCTAAATCATTTGCTTAATTAAAATTTTTTATAATTAAATAATGTTTTTTGTAGTATTGATGTAACAAAATATCACAATTAAAATTTGTTATAAATATTAAATAACCAAATATATTTGATAAACAAAAAAATCATTATAGAAATACATTTGAGAATACATTAAAATTAAGATATTAATATTAAGATATTAAAAAACTAAAAACAGTAGTAAATTAATGTTTTAGTAGAATGAATAATAATTTTCTATATTAATCACTGTTTAATACTAAGCATATATATCGTAAATATGCGACGCATCTTCTAATTAGAACTGAGTTTTATGGATTCCAGATACTATTTCGTATAAATATTTTTCTAATTATTTTACTTTTTATAAATTTCATACTTGACAAATGATACAAAATATCTATTATAAAATAAAATATTAATATAAGTTAAAATTTAAATTGACCAATTCGCTGTATAAAAAAATATCCAAATAATTATCGTAGTATGTAATGTTTTTAATAAAATCCAAAGTTAATTAAAACGTAGAAAATTATTTCAATTTTTCAAACAATAGAACTTTACAGGCTTGTAATTATTTTAACTTTTATGGAAAATATTTAGTAAATTAATTTACTTTAACATATTAAAAAGCAAAATTTTTATTTATTTAAGAATATTACTTGTAAGAATAAGTCAATAAAACGCTTTTAAAATAATATAAAAAATATTTATTGAATATTTCAATTTGTTTTTACTCAGATTAATAAAATTTAGATTATTAGATTAATATCGTTAGGTTTTAAACTAAGTGTAAATTATACAATTTTACATGTGATATGAATACTGGATATTTTGCTTTCTAGTAAATTCAATATTCGAGAATCCTTGCTTACAGGGATAATGATGTATAATACTTTTTGTAGTAGCTTGATATATGCTTCATATTTTACTGCAATATACATATTTTATTTAATATGTATATGCATTTATGTTTTCTTTATTTTTGAGTTCTTGATAAGAATATTTTTAATTTTTTCTATATTATGTATTGTAAATACAATAAAAAACAATATATTTATGAACATTTAAGCAGATATTAATAGTCACCAAAGAAACCCAGTTGATGGGTTATCAATTTTCTACAATAAAATTCCTATTTGGATGTACATTTATATATTAATAAAACCAAAATTTTATTTTATTTATTAATTTTCAATACAAAAAGAACTCAAAAATAAAAATATTTTTCACTTCATTTTTATACAATTACATATTTTATAGTATATCGAATAGTATTTATTTTTTTTTACGATCAGTTTAATTTACGTTTTGTGGATTATAATTAGTACATTATAAAATGTAAAAAATCAAAGGCATTCCTCCGATGCTAACTTTGATGTCCGGAGTTCCGTACATGTAAATACAAAAGAGTAGAGTGATGTAAACTATTGCTCGAACGTACAATGGCCGTGGCGGCCGTAAAATGGACTGCACACTTATGTTTTTATATTTTCATTTTTTTATCTATGCAAATTTTTTACACTATTCCTACTATAATTATTTTTGTATTTATTAATACTAATACATGTAGTCGCATCGGTTTTCATAGTTGATGTCTTTTTATATACTATAAAAACAAGTTTGAAAAGTGAAAAAATATTTTATAATATACAATATATTATTTTTGAAAATAATGTTTTCCAAATTCGATTGTTTCAGTTATTAACAACATAAATAGTATGTTGTTTAATTAAATTATTTATATCATAAATTAAAAACATAATATAGCTTATAATAAACACAAAGAAATTTGTAATAGTGGCTGCAATTCATACTCAAAAAAATAAAAAAAGGTCTTTTTAAAAATGAACGCGATAAAAAACGTATGTGTGCAGTCTTACTGTAGGAATAAAAAAATTCATGTTACCCGAATTGGGTATTCTGTACCATGAGTATTCGTAGCTCAAATAAGCTTTTGTACATAAAGCGATAAAAAAGATGAAATCAAGTTTGTAACGAATAATAAACACGCTTCGCATCGAAGTGGCAACGACGTATTTACGATGAAAGTTCAACAAATAAAAAATAAAAAAATTTGTATGCGCAATTGACGATAATGCTAAAAAATAAGATAAAACAAAATAAGAAATTAAGAAATGGAATGGTTTAGATTAAGAGGAAGGACAATAGGAAAGTGAAATCTATATACTCCAATTGAAATGTGATTACAAATATTTCAGAGCGATCTTTCGTAAATCAACGATCAATGTGATGAGATTACATTTTAGACTATATTTAGGTGATGATTTTTTAATAAGGATCACGCATTATCAAGTTACGAAAATTTATATATATTTTTTTATAGATAATAAATTGTAAAAACTAAGTGGTTGTTTTCTCTACATAGAGCCAAAACTAATATTATCTTTGCTATTTTCAAACATTTGAAAATTATAAAAAAAATATCACTGCCGAATTTAAACTTTTCAATGTATAGTTCATCTCATATAATACCATCATTATCATACTATCAAGCAGCATAATCTGAGTATTGGTAGAAAACAGCAAAAGCAGTATCAAATTCGATATTGAATGAGTTGCAAGTAATTGGAACCCCGATAAAAGTCTTTTATAAAAACTCAGGCGTAATGTTTTGATTACTGTCCTGTATATACTTATAGTTTAATAAGAATATATATTTATATATAATTATATAAAATTATATATAAAACAATTTTTGTTTTTATTACATTTTGTTTAATAACAGGACATAAAAGAAAGTTATTTTCAGAAAAATATTTTTTTATTTTGAAGTGATAAATTTCACATAGATATATTGATCACAAAACAAATTGATTTGCAAAAGGTCGAACTGTAAAAAAAGAATATCGTTTTTTAAGCATATGAGTCAATTGATTGACTGACTTCTATCATAAACTGAGATATCTGCATTATGAAGACATTTCAAGTTCCGATTTTCATATGACTATTAATTATACTGCAATTATTTTCATGTACGTTTTAAGTTAATAAGAGTGCAATTTTAAGTATTCTGCTCTCTTTCTCATTCTTACTCTCGCTTTAAAATTACAAGCACAATGTCAAATATTAAATTTATTAGTTGTTAAGATAAAGCGTTAAAATTTTTTTCTTATTCTACACCATGTGGAGATTGAAAATTTATCATCCTTATTTAAAATTAAATTTACAAAACAATTATTGTTGGTAATGTGATACTCGAAACGCGAAACCTCTTAAGTACTAACATTAATACAAATAATTATAAGAGTGATCACGATAACCTTAACTATGACGACTCCGTAACGAGAAGGAGGCTCGATAACTCAGGGTATCGGTTATTCTCATGAAAATACGACGAAGCATTTCCGTTCAGATAACACTAATGTTACGTAGAATATCACGTGGTCCGCCGTTGCCGCATCGATTTCGCCGGACCGATTGTTCGCTCTCTCGATGCCGATTTTTCGCAACATGTGTATGCGATAATTGCGAATGCGTAAGAAAACAGTCTTTCGGTTGTAGAAACTACACGTTTTTAAAATTGTGACTTCGCTGCTGGCAGACGAGATCGTGATCCGTTTTGCAGATTAATCAAATACATTTTTAACCATATAGGGAGTATTGATTATTTAGCGGCGAAAGAACTTTTAAGGGGGTTCTAAAGCTTTTAGAAAGCATTGACTCATAATAAATTTTTTCAAAACTCATTACGTAAAACAATACGACTGAATTTTATAACCTTGTTAAAGGTTATAAATATAAATGAAATTTGAACAATCACTGCTTTAATGTACAGCGTTTCATAATACTTTTAGGATTTTCAACAATCGTATACATAAAGTGAAACCGTATAAAATTTTATAAATGTACAATGAATTAATACTATTTATATTTATACAGTATAAATCTTAATATCGTTAATGATAAATTTTTGTTAATATTATTAATAATTATATAATCGTTTTATTCAAAAAAAGCTTGTTCATGTTTTGCATAATTAAATTCGATAATATTTTTAAATCACTTTTTAAATATAACTTGACGTGTCATTTGAATATTGAGACGTTCTATAAAAATTTGCTATAGTATTTAAACAAACATATTTGATGTATTTGAAAAAATATATATATTTTACCAAGTTAATTGATTTGAAAAAAATCGATATTCACTATTATATTATTGAATTAACATCAACTTCAATAATAAATAAATAGATTATATAATTATTAGCAACGCCTTAGACTTAATTAAATTATTTTGATTATTAATGATGAAGATTATTCATGTACTTAAAATGATTTTCTGTAAATATTATATATATATATATATATATATATATATATATATATATATATAATGCGAATGTAACTTATATTAATAAATTATTTTTCTTTTATAATAATCGTTATATCATAAAAATTATTCCGATATTTAATGCACACAAAAGTAAATTTTTCTAATTATACAGCTTTAGAGCCTCTTTAAGAATAGAAAGAGGTTAAAAATAATATATATAACCCAAACGAATGCACTAACTCGATATGATATTTCATTGACCTGTAATTTTGTTTACGTAGAACAAGAATCCACATTTACGTCGTACTATATGCGTTAATATTTTATCTATAAATCTTGGTTAATCATTGATTATCATAAAGCGAAATGTAAAAATTAATTTTAGTATTACAATGAAATATTGACACTATTAGTCTAATACAATTGCGCAAAATTATTTAAATAGCGTACTTTCTCACAAATTAGACGCTCAACTGCAAATGCGTTTGCCTAGCCATATTATTTACCAGTATTAATATTGATATGCTTTGTATCAGCGATATTGTAGATTTTAATAGTAGATAAATTAAAACCACAAATACATTCATGTATTTTCCCATTGCTTATTAAAACTCGGTAGGCAATTGTATTTTCAGCATGCGGTAATTTACTATGATGAATATTTTGCATATTTACTTAGCTTAAGTTGTTGAATAGCGGAAAGCATTAATGGTAAATTTTATTAAAATTTAATACAATAAAAATTATTTTAAAAATTCTGTGAACAATTAAAAAAAAAATAATAGAAAAATAATTGTAAAGTATAAAAAGCAAAGTAAACGCGTTTATGTACAAGCAATATTGTTTAAAATTTATATATACGATGGAATTATAAAATATGTATTGATAAATAATATGACACATATTTGCTACAAGAAGTTGCTGCACAAACTCAAAATATTGCGCACTTAATCATTAAATTACATCAAATATTTAAAAAAAATAATAAATCATGTAATAAATTAATGGTTAAATTCAAATTACCATTTCATAGTAAATGTATAATAAACAAAAGATTCGCCACTTTACCATTGATTAAAAATCGAATTTATAGTAGTTTTTTCAATCAATTACTATTTCCACTATAAGGATGAATAATAAATGATTTGACGGTTGTGGAATTTTTTAAAAAATATATCAAGAATCCATTAATTAGGAAAGCTTAACGTCTTGTGCATTAAAGTATGTACAATTATCCTTGCCACTAATTACTATGGGAAAAAGGTATTTTATCAACATATATTTTTTTTATTAATAACAATTATAAAAATTAACAATATTAATATTGAATGTATAGTGGTTCATTTCAACTGGCCATGTAGACAAATTTTATAGTTTACATTTGATTTATATTTTTTATCAAGGCAGATAAGTACTTCAAGAATGTTTTATTATCTTTTGAACATAATGTTAATATGTTAATTTTTAAAATAATAAAAAATAACATGATCGAATACTGAATGACATTCTTCCGTAATATAATCATAAAAATTTAAATATCACTAAAGTAATAAATAAAACATTATAAAATGTACATCGCAATGGCGATAAAGTGAATTGCTATAAAAGTGAAATTATTCTAAATTTATTTCTAAAACTATTCTAAAAAATTAACTTATTAAAACCACAGACATTTCAAAACTGCACACCTGTATAACAGACACAATATACGTGTGCGTAAATTACAACAAATCTTACTTGTGAATCTTCTATTTCAACTAGTTTTCGTTACAAAATATTGCTAATTATGAAATTCAATTTAAAAATTTATATTTATAGATATATATATATATATATATATATATATATATATATATATATAATATACATTATATTGAAAAAACTATTAAAATATCCTCAAAAAAAATTATTTATTATATATATTCATTATAACAATTATATATATTAAATTATTTATTTAATCACAAATATTTTAGTAAAATATTAGATAAGTTAAATCCATTGTATAATATTTTTGAACCTACTATTGTATTAATTTAATTAAGAAATTTATAAAAGTAATTTAAATATTATGTTAAGAAATATAATTTATATATTTTAAAACCTTTTACTAAAAATTCCAGAATTACATGTATATGAAAATTACTTAGAATTGTTGTAATTAAATTAGTTAAATAGATTCCAAAATATACTTAAGTATTTACATTTGCTTTTATTTTTCAAATAAAAATCTGCACCAATGGTGTGCAATCATTTATAAGTAGATTAAAGTGTTCACATTCCCAGAAGCGTCATAAGCGTTTTATGCACTGTATAATCATCGAATACGAAAGGCGACAAAAATGTAAGAATTATAATTGTTTCAATGTAAAAAAATCCTAAAAACCTGTCAGTAGACACTTCAATAACGAAGTTTGTCAATGTATCACCAGATTTTCTGACAAGAAAAATAAATATATAAATTAAAATTTAATATTTATTATAATAAAATTGATTTCTAAGTTTATATGAATGTTTTTATCGGTAAGCAATTTAAATGAAAATAATATAGCATTTTGTAATTTACATTTATAATTATTATTACATTCTATTCTTATTTATTAATAACATAAGTTTATAATAATTATAATTATTTATATTAAATTAACTCCGTTTTATTTAACTTTTTCCATTTTCTACATAATTACTTAAATTAAAAAAAATATATATACACATTAGATTATTCAAACATTTATGATTTCGAATAGTTATTACAAGTAAAAATTTAAAGATACTCAAATGTCAATATAACTATTTTAAAGTAAGACTTGTTTATATTAATTTATATTTATTCTTATACTCTATTTTTCATATTTTAATTAATGCTTTTGATAGGAAATTACAGAATAATAAAAGCAACTTTATTATTTTTAAAAAAATTTTGTAATTAAAATGTTACAACGAACATTTTTCAAAAACATATTAAACTTTTACATAATTTTTACATGCTTGTTCTGTTCAAACTAAATACATGAACAATGGTCTATAAGTTTTGTAATTTATTAACTGAAATTTTTAAATATTAGTAATCATTTTTCAAATTATAATTTTTGATAAGTTGGAATTAATTTATTAACATTTTATTACTTTGTCAAATTAAAAGGAATAATAAGTTTTTAATAAATACAAATGATTCAATTTCATAACTACTAAAGTTTATTTTCTTATTATTTGTAGATTCTACGTTGTACTATTAAAAATAAATTTAAGTAGCACATGTGAACAGTACAAATTTAAAAAAATATTTATATTAATTTTTCAATTTCATGATATAGATTACGTAAGTATACAAAATACTAACATTATAAAATTAATTTCTAATAAAATATAAAGTTAATAAATTTAAAAATTATTGACATTTAATTTATTTGAATTTATAATATTACAATTTTGCATTGGAAACTGTTTACACATATCTTAGCCTTAGTAATTGCGTAGGTTAGGTACTTCTATACATTTTGAAATTAATACTTTGTGTTTACTTATATATTTTTTACTTACTTCTTTAGTATATCTTGTTTCTAATTTATAATTTAGATAATATTCAGAGCACTATTGAATGTAATAAACAAAAACATTTTAATTAATTTTCGAATCGTTTATACAAATATATATATATATGAAAAATAATCTATTATGACTAATACTTTTCTTTAAAAAGAAACATTTCGGTATCAATAAATGTTTGATCATACGCATTGTTCAAATCACAGTTCTATCGCCTTAAATAATATGAACAAATATATGATTCATTTAGTTAATGCCCATATTAAGATGCAGTAAACTTGCAAGTACATTTTATAGATAAGGCATGCAAAAATTCAAATAATTATATATATAATTTTTTCACTTTCTATACTATTTGTAGGTACTATATAAATTCCATAAAATATTTATTTATAAAACTTAAGTAAAAGTAATCACAAAGAATTAATTTTAAGGTATAAAAATGCTGTGCTCACATCTGAATAAAACACTTTCTTCATTCACCAATATCATTCATTCAATTATAACTTAATATTACTCAAAAGAAACTGGCAGTCAATGCTAAACACCTACTTCTTCTTCTTTCTGGGTTGAGGTGCTGGTAGACTTTCAACTTTACGCTTCGAAGCTGGTTTTGCGTTTATATTACCGCCACCTTTTTTTCTTCTTTCTTGCCTCTCACGCTCCTCCAATTCCTGATTTTCGCGTTCGATTAGCGTGATAAGCGTATTACATCTGCGCTGCAACTCTAATGCTGTGCGAGATTTAACGAACCAATCGAAGCGAAATTGTGGTGCTGATCTAACTGTTGCCCTTAATTCCTCATATACATTTTCCTTATCAAAACCTGTTTAAACACCAATTTATAATTATTTATTATCAATCAATCAATATGAAAAGTGGAAGATTAAATGTTTCTTTGTATTTTTTCAATATATGAATCAAGCTTTTTCAATTTTTTTTATTAACAATATATTTCATGTGTATTTTATTCTTTAAAATATTTTAATTGTAGATCAACATTAAATATATTTCCTCTTTTTATACAAATTTCTAATAAACATTAATTTCCATAATCTATGGTTTGAAGTGAACTTTAAACTACTAAAAATATGTTTAGAAATTAAAAATAATGAGCCATGGATAGAAATTAACAGTCATTCGATTAAATGATTTACTGAAATAATTTAAAATGTTATCTAAAGCATATTTTAGTTCTAAACATAAGTACAAAAATAATTAATTTTCTAAAAAGAAAAAAATTTACGTTATTACAGTAAAGAAATATAAAATAAACACCTACCTAATTTATGTAGCATGCATACAAGAAATCTGTCTTCTTCCTCAGTATAGTTTTTGCCCTTGTTTGTACCATAGGCTATTCTTAATTGATGAAAAGGCGCTCGGTACCTTGCCATTTTCGCATCTAGGGCCTTTTTAATGCCAGCGCGACGTTGAATCTTGGCTTCACCACGCTCTATTTGTGCCATCACACGATCGATATCCTGGAGCTCGTGGCAACGTTCCCAGAAGACCGCTGAGTACTCCATGACCTCTTCCGGCGTTTTACCCTCCACCTCTTTGGCGATATTTTCGATGTCATCTCTGCCATATTTCTCATTTGCTTTTATAAACTGATTGAAGTCACGCTTGGTCCAATTTGTAAAGCCCTGCGTGAGGAGCCTTTCTTTCTCAGCAACCTCCTCGTCGGTTAGCTGTTGAGCGTCGTCAATTTTGCGCTGTTCTTCTTTTTGTATCCTTGCTGCATCTGAACCTACAAACACAAGTATTTTATTTTAAATCTGTAATTATTAGTAAACAAATCTTAAATTAACTTTCAAATAACTTTCAATTTTTTCTTAATTCATAATTATTAAGTTACTTGAAGTTAAAAAATATTAAATTGAAAAACTAACTTATATAAAAGATATATTTAATTTCAATTAAATTATAGAATAATTTTAACTTATTGATATAGAAAAAATTTAATTTTATGTATTATTATTACTAAGTAACCATATGCTTATTTTTAAATAATAATATTATTGAGTAATTACTTTTAAATAACATTAGACTTAAATTTAAATATTTAAAAAATAAATATAAAACAGATTAAATGCATTATTGCATGAAACCGATGTATTGTTTAAATAATATATTATAATAAAAATTGTTTGTAAAAAGTACCACTGTATATAATGAATAAATAGTGATTATTAAGTAGATTGGTTAATTGTGTAATTTATTAGCTCACAGAAAACATTAGATGTCATTAATTGATTGAAAAATAAAAATAAAATCGATTGTCTTACCCAATTCTGGATTTTTAGGTACTTTATATCCTACAGTTTGCCTAAAATAGTAGATTTCTTGGTCAAGGAGCTCAAAAAGTCTTGGAGGAAAAAATTGAAAATCCTGAACTATTGGTTGTTTTGGTGGTCTGGGGGCTTTTGGTGCCTTGGGCTCGGAAACCCGAAGAGCCTCCCGAAAGTACGCATCTACAGCATAATTAGCTTTACGCTCACGCTTCGGCGGTTCAATCCAATGTCCTATGCCTAATATTTTCTGCTTTTCTCTATAGTCCTGACCTTCAAACTGATAAACTGAGTCCGTAGGCGCATCAACAGTAAAATTACGAAGAGAGGACTCGCCGAGGCTTTCAAGCTTCTGTTTCATTTCTTGAGTCTTTTCCTCACCCTTTTGTAGAATCGTGTCAATATCTTCATCAGTAATGGCACTATCTTTAGAGGCGAATACTTCGTTCGCTCCGTGTCGAATAATATTCAGCATTTCATCTTTGTTGAGGGCATTTTGTTTAGCATCGACGAGTCTGCCCTGCTGGATAACGAGCTTATCGAGACGGAGCTTCACTTCCGCCCGCTCCACAATCTTTTCTTCGACAGTATTTTCGGTAATAAATCGAAACACACGTACCTATGTAGATTTGAAAATTTTTATTATTAGAAACATATTAGGTCTTAAAATGGCATGAATAAACAAAAAACAATTTTTAATTCGATAATTTAAAAACACTTTAAATATGTATTTACAAAGCAGAAATTTAAATTTATTATCACATATTATAATTAAGGTAATTTAATTTATGATTTGTATAAAATAATTAAACTTCCAAAATTAAAATTTTTACAAGGTTTAAATGTATTTTTATAAATAAACCTTTTGTTAGAATATGTTAATGCATTAAAAACCATAAAATAGGAAATGTTCTTAATATTAAGAACTAAAAGCTGAACTATCAAAGATTTTTTAACAAAATTATAAATAAATTGTAATTGTACATTAACTTAGAAAAACTAAGTGGCATGAAGGCCTATAAAATAACAATGAAAGTATGATGACCTGTTTCTGTTGACCAATACGATGTGCACGATCCATAGCCTGGAGATCCATTTGAGGATTCCAGTCTGAATCATAGATAATGACAACATCAGCAGTTGCAAGGTTAATACCTAAGCCTCCAGCACGTGTCGATAGCATGAAAATGAACTTTTCACTCCCAGGTGCATTGTACTCATTGATCTGCCTCTGACGATCTTCATGCGCAGTATTACCGTCAAGGCGGCAGTACTGATAGCAACGCCAGTGACAATAATCTTCAAGGATGTCCAGCATACGTGTCATTTGGCTAAAAATAAGGACACGTGATTGCTGCTGCTGAAGCTTTGGGAGTAGCTTGTCAAGGATGACAAGTTTGCCACAATTATAGACGAGATGCTCGTCAGTCGTGTACGGTGGCCCAGGCTCAGCACCATCAAACAAATACGGGTGATTGCAACATTTACGCAATTGCATAAGAATATTCTGCAGACGCATCTTCTCAATCTTGCCAGCACCGTTAACAATATCAATATCTTTCATCAGAACCTTTGTGTACCATTCACGCTGCATTTTACTCAGACCTGAAATGAATCTAATACTATACCTCTCTTATATTTACAAAAAATTAATCTTATTAATATTATTATAATTCTAAATAAAATGTTAAAATTATAAAATTGAGAAATAGTTCATGTAAAATATCATAATTCTTTTATTCTCCCAAGGTAATTTAAATAAAATAATTAGTTTTTTGTAAATAATAAAATTTAAACCATAATCTCAAAGAGCGCTGAATCTGCTGAAAACTAATTAAAAAACTGTGTATATATATTTTCTACTAACTAAAGAATTATGAAATTTAACATATCAAATGTTTATTTTATGATAAAAAATTTATATTTTTATATATAAATAAAAAAAAAATTACCTAGCCTATGTATGTTACACAATATTATGATTTAATATACTACCTTTAAAATCCATTTAAATTTTAACTCTCTTAAAGAATAAGAACTTTATTACATTTAATAAGCACAGATTTAATTAACAAACATAATTAAATCTAATTAGAAAGCATAAATAAATTAATAGTACGAACCTATATAAACTTTAATTTCTTTCTTTGGTTTTAAACCTTTTTCTACTTCGGATTTCAATCTGCGTAACAAAAAGGGTCGTAGAACAGCATGCAATCTTTCAATAAGAGTATTGTCTCCTAAGAAGCTATTTGTATTAAACCAAGAATCAAAATCTTCAGAACTGTTGAAAACATCAGGTAGCAAGAAATTTAAGAGTGACCATAATTCGTGCAAATTATTTTGTAGAGGTGTACCAGTTAACAAAAGTCTGTTAGCTGTTTTACATTCACGTAAAATTTCAGAAAGCTTTGACTTTTCATTTTTCAATCTATGGGCCTCATCTACTACCATATAACGCCAATTGAATTTTTTAAAAACCCATTTTTCTATCAAAACCATTTCATAAGATGTCACACATACATCCCACTCTCCTGGCAACATAACATCTCTGATAAAAGCATTTCTAGTATCGGAGTCTCCAATAAGGAAAACAGTTCTTAAAGATGGACACCATTTTTTGAATTCATTCATCCAATTAGCTAATGTTGTTTTGGGTACCACAACAATATGAGGTCCAGATATACTTCTAAAATGTTTCATGTAACCCAGTAAGGAAATAGTTTGTAGAGTTTTACCTATAATTGAAAAACCGTATAATTCATATTTTTTGAAAAATACATAATTAACTAAATTTAAATTTAAATTTAACATATAAATTTAAATTTAAATATAAATTTAAAATTTTTACATATATTTACCAATTTTGTTTAATGACCAATTTTAAGTGAATATATGATTTTTTACATAAAAAATTTTAAATATTTCATAAGTATCCTTTATTAAAGATACGCTTAAAAACTATAGTTTAATTAAAAAATTTAATTTAGAATTAAGAACATAAGTAATATATTACACTATATTAAATAAAAACATTATTTAATTTGTTAAATAATATAAAAATATTGAACCTATAGTCAAGTTTCTATCAAAATATAAGATAAATATCAACAAATTATTAATATGAATTACAAAAACATCTAGTTTTACTTTTTTATACTATGTAGAAAGATCATGATAAAATTACAAAACATTTGACTAATTCTCACCTAAACCCATCTCATCAGCCAAAATACCATTAATACCATTCTCATACAATGATATCATCCAATTAAGACCTCGAACTTGATAATCTCTAAGCTCTCCAGACTTAATGTATGGTGGAGAGCTCTCAAACCTTGTAACAGGAGCTGTAACATTAGAATCAGCAGCAAGTAATTCTTCATCTTCTTCGGTTTCCGTTTTGCTGTGCCTGTGATCTGCTGAATCCTTATCCAATGACTTATCCAACCTATCTTTTAAATCTGGTGGCTGTAGTTTGTCAGAAGGTAAAGGTGTTTTCCTTGGCCTGCCGGGCTTAATCTTCAGTGGGCTTTTATCTTTAGAATTATTAGTCATAAAGTGAGAAAAGATCTCGGTTTGCTTGAGGAGAAAATCGAAACGCTTGCTTCTGTCAGTTTCAAGCTTCGTTTCAAAGTCACCGCCACCTCGAGAGGAGGACGTTTCTGCTGACGAGTCGTTGGAATTGTCGCCGGCATCGCTCGCATTTTCGTCTGCCTTAGACATTTCGACGAAATACGTGAATCTCTGCAATATAATCCGCGCAACCAAAGTGCCACTAAGCTGCACACGTAAGATTTCTAACCGCTCTATCCACTTCGGTTGTTTTTTCACTTAGTTCGTAGTCTACCCCGTCACTAAATAATAAAACTTCGCTTATTATCTTATATCCGACACTTTACTCCCTTATTGTCAAAAGCACTGATATAAACTGTCAAAACCCGGCCAACTTCGGTTATATTTACTCGCTCATGTTAAATTCACGACAAAATATACTCGAATATTCAACAAACACAATTTGCACAATGCATACAATACCACAGAAATCGTGAGAAACGCGTGTTGTGCGTTTGACTAGTGCTGTAACTGCCATTTTTAATAGAAAACTTGGCGGTATTTGTATAAGAAATTAGCGCCTTTTTTAGTATACCTAAGGTGCCGTATTTCTAACCTCCATCTCACCGTTTGATATAAAACGGTTATTCACTTGTCAAGCATTAATAAAATTGTTTCCGTTAATTAATTAATTTAATTAATTTCATTAATAAAATCTATATAATTTTGAAAAAGAAATTAAAATAAATTGATAAAAACCTTAATAGTCTATACGAAGAAAATTAATAGGGCAACGATTAAAAAATGTAAAGATAAATTTAACTGATTAACAATTTAAATTTTTAATTGTACTTTCTTGCAAAATTTGAATTGATAGATGAAACATCCATACATATTTTTGTTATTATGATTACATAGTAACACATTACGATTAAAAAAAAAACTGCAAAAATGGATTAGCAAACTATAAAATGTTAATTAGAGGCTCTATGTATAAGAGAAAAAAATAATTATAAAAAGAACATAAAATAATTCGTCAAAAAGAGCGATAAAAATAAATTATAGATTATAATCTAAAATAATATTTGTTTTTTAAAATATTTATTATATATATTAAGTTGAAATAAAAAATAAATTAAGGTACAGAAAATTATTAAAACATTTAATTAACAACATTCATTTTTTATATTTTTTTAGAATCCAAAAATTATTTTTATTAGTTTATAATTGGAATATAACTTATTTTAATTATATATTGAAATAATTTAAGAGAAAATAACAAAAAACCTTAGATATTTGTAAATAAACAAATACTTTATAAAGCATTTCAAGATTTTTATTAAAAACAAAAAAAACTATCTTGGTATGATACAAATTACAAAGTTGAGATAAATATTAAATAATAACTATATAATTTGAAAATTAATTATAAAATCATATTTTGTATTTATTAATTGTATGCCTCTATAGGAGTATAAATTATAAATACAAATAAATTTATATTTGCAAATGAAAGTTGGAAATTTGTCATATATTTAAGTGAAATCGTTCAGATCCTACCCTCAAAAAAATATTTCGGCAGATTTAAATACAAAATTTCCATTAGGTAAATAAAAAAGATAGACAATACCTTGAGAAAACATTGAACCTTCGTTACAATTATGATTTTACATGAAATCCCTTATTTTACTCCTATTTTTAAATTAATTTAATTCGTACTAAATCGTAATATAGCACTTAACTGAAATACACTTATTATTTCTTTCTGTCAATATCCAATTTACAATATATTCATAAAAGAAGCAGATATAAATTAACAACAACAATAATACAAAAGCAAGAAAATATTTGATTTATATATATATATATTTTTCATTATAAAAATTATACTAATGATTTTCATTAGAATTAAGATTCATTATTATTAATATTGAGATGAAGATAAAATATTAAATAGTATTGCATATTACTGCATAAAAAAGAAATAATAAATTATAGCACTCTATGTAGTTATTGTAAATATCTTTTGTCACAAAATTTGATTTTTATACATTAATTACTGTATTGATAAAACTAATTTTAATTTCTGTTTCAAATAATGAAAAAATTATATAAATAAAATATTTTGTAAACTAAGAGTTTTTTAAATGTTACAAACTTTCTTCTGGTATTGAAGTATTAATGTTACTGATCACCAACCACTTTCACTACACATAGCATTAATACAGTCCACAACTTTGACACACAAGTCACACAAATTTTCAAACTATGCTTTTTATATTACAGTGTAGCAAATTAAAAAATATTATCATTAATTTCAAAAGATAAAAGTAATTTAAAACTTAAACAAAATTCTTTTTAATTAATATGTTCAAATAGTACGTATATACAGTAACAACGATTTTTCGAGTAATATAGTGTGGCAAATATGTATTGAAAAAGTAACTATATACATGAATTTGTCACAAAAGAATTACAAATATTAATCAGAAACCACATTAAAAATTTTCAATAAATATATATATATATATATATATATATATATATACTTTATTTACAATTTTTTCAACAAAATTGTGATACATCAAAATCGCATAATTAAAATGAATTACATTATATACATTGAATAAATTTGAAACGAGATCTGAAACCAGATCTGTAATAAATATACAAGAATCAATATATATAACTCTATTAAAATTATAAATTGAAAAATACATTTATTCTCAACTTAATTTTCCATTTTATTTACATGTGATTCTTCAGATTCTATACTATTATTTTAATTTACTGATTGTAATTTTATTTTAGATTAATAATTTATATAAATTTTGTTAATAATCCTTAAAATTTTCATATGTACTTATTATATGTAGTTTTTATTGATGTAATTAATTTATAATTAATATATTCATATAGAATTACATATATATATATATATATATAATTCAAAATATTATGAATAAAAAGAAATTGGGAAGGAGAAATAAAATCAATAATAAAAATCGATAATAGAGAAAATAGCGAATAAATGATAATTAAAAGTGTGAATTTAAATTACATATTAAATAATAATATGAAAAAGAATATATATAAAATATACGATTATTGTATATGATTAATATATACAATCCAAAACAAATAAAAAATATTTTATTCAATAAATCATATAAAAGATTAATTTGAAATTAAATATTCAAAAAATTGATGAGTACCATTTGTTGAAAAATTAACTTAAATTAATTTTCTTGGAATAATTCATATTTCTCAATAAATTTATATTTATTACTATTTTTAAAATATAATGATTTATTTTAATAATTATATAAATTTATAAATGGCTATTTATAATTATATCTATTCCACTTTTTATATTAAGCTGGTCGTAAATATCAATTACTGGAAAAGGCCTATAAATATAAAAACCTTATGAAATTATTTAAATAATATCAATTAACTACAAATGAACAAAAAAAAATACCTATTCAAAGTGAATAAATGATAACCGTAGGAAACGCCACTTTTTCTAATTTCTTGTATAATTTTTACGCTCAAATCTATACCAAATTTTTTTACGGCTTCGTTGTCTTCGCCCATCACTTGTAAAGTATTTTGAATCCAAGGTGGGATCCTTGTACTGCATATACTGGTAATTTTGTTTAGTAATCTTGCATTTGTAATTGGGTAAATTCCGGGAATTATAGGAACAGTTATTCCTAATTTTCGACAGTCTTTTATGAATTGAATGTACAATTGATATTCAAAGCAAAATTGTGTTATAATAAAATCTGCACCTGCATTTACCTATAAAATAACATATATTGTACGTCATTTGTCAAATCATTTAATCGTGACTCACCTTAGCTTTAAGATAAAAAAGATCGTGATTTTTTGACGGTGACTGCGGATGCATTTCTGGATATCCAGCAACGCAAATGCAAAATTGTTGACCAAAAATTTTTCTAATAAATGTAACTAGATCCGATGCGTATTGAAAATCACCATCATCTGAGCTTGTATCTGTTTTGACAGACATTTAAATAATAAATATTTACGAAAAATAATAAATAGAAGTATTTTAGTAATGCAATATCAAATCAATAACAAAATGGATTAATTTTGTTAAGTTACTCTAAAGAATGTTCATCAATAATATTCTTAAATTTCATTAACTGAGACAAATTCATTTTTGCTTTTAAATTATTTGACGAAATTTTATATGCATGAATGTAAACATACAATTTTTAACCACATATATATAATTGTATTTGATGTTTTAAAAATTAAAAGAATGTCTATGATAAATTCAACATATCGAATTCAAATAGCAATTTATTAATACTGTTTTCCTTTCATTACAAAAAATTGTTGAAGATACGCACAAAAATATCTTATCACGTGAATACAAACAATAAATACAATAAATATAAATGTAATAATAATATATACATTCAACAAATATTCGCATAACTGAATTGAAAGATTATTTTCGTAAATCTACACTTATTTTTAACATTATGTAAATTCGATAGACAAGTATTAAAATAACCAAATAAAAATTGTACTAACTACGTTTTCAAAAACGTTATATTTTTAAATACTATATGTGCAAGCATATATGCTTTGCTTTCGATCATTTAGATAAAATGCATTTATTGCAAATTCAGTTTAATTATAAATATAAAATAGCTACCCATAATTAAAAATTGGAGAAAAATAAGGACAGAAGAGTATCGGTTAAATTATAAAGAAAATTTGAACTTTGAATACGTTCGCATATCTTACCCCCTTGAAGTACAAATATGTTGACAATGTCCAGTTCTAGGGCCCGGCGTAATATCTTCTCAACATCTGCATACTTTAAGCCTCGAGCTGCGCAATGTAGTAGAACGTTCCCAGGGAAGTTTTCGGCAATCTTCAAAGTTGAGAACGGCTCACTCGGAATCACCCCCTTTTCGTACCACGTCAAGGCATAAAACGCCGGTGCACATCGCTCCGTTTCTCTGAAAAACCTGGACAACTGTATTGTTATGGTAAGAAAACAATATTAATGGATTAGTAATTAAATAGAAAAGAAAAGTTTTTCAAAGTTTTCGCGAGTTAATGCTTATTTTAAATCCGTTTTCCGAAGCTCTTAAAAGTAAACTAGAAGCGATCAAAGTAGCTTTATTGAGCTTAGCTTCGCCGAATCTAATCACAAAACGAAGTCTAATCACATTAAGGAAACAACATATATATTTCTTACATAAACAAATATGTTGATAAACCAACCTAAAACAGTGACGTCGATTGTAACTGATCACTTGGCCAGGCCGGATTATTTATTGCAATAAAAAAATTCATGTGGTAGTATAATATTATGTTAACAGATAGTAGTATATTATCTTTCTAAGTAAATATTAATAAAGATAAAACTATTTTAATTATAAAACATTATTATTCTCATTGTTGTCGTCGTCGTTGTAATTGTTATTGTTGCTAATAATTTGTATTATATATATATAATTAAAAATTGTTTTTATACACTGTCAAAATGTACTGTATTAAACCAATATTTTTTGGCTACTATTAAATTTTGTAAAGGAAAGTAAAAATCTATTGTAAAAAAAGTCAATAGTTTCGATGTTCAATGATGATATCAGTTAAATACAAGGACAAAGGATAATTAGAGATAGATTTTAGACAAGTGTGTAGAAGGAAACATTCAATGAATAGAAACTCGTGTATAGATTCAATTTAATTTATCAATTTATTGACATCTAGTTTTAGAGAAATGCTATTTATCTTGATAATTAGATGCAAACTGTCCTTTTTGCACATCTTCAGATCTATGGATACTCCTCTGGACATTCCTTACACATTCGTGGAAAGTTATTAATTCCTCAGGCCCTATCATAAACGCAACTTTATCCGAACGAAATGTGAAATTGGCTAGTGCCATAAATTACACCCGAAACCGACACGCTAATCCGGGACTCTCGGCCGCCTAGTTTATCCCTTTCATATAGGTATGTATATATTGTCCATCAATTCAATAATAAATTTTAATACATAAATGAAAATAATGATTTTATATAAGTAAATGACATGTAAACTAATTAAATGAACAAATAATAAATTTTGGGAAATTAATAATTTATAAATCATCATTAATTTAAAAATAAAAACAATGAAAACATTCGAAAATATTATACCACAAAATATCAATTCTTTCCTATTGTTCAAATTATGTTCTACTAAAAAATTTCATTAAAAAATTACAAAAGCTTGTTTAAAATAAAACTATTAATTTATAATATTTTATTATAAAAACTGGTTTCGTTTTTTGCGATTTTTATAATATTTATTTAGTAATACCTGTAAAGTTTCGAACTTAAGAAAAGATCGTGAAAATTTTGATCGTTAATAGCACTTTAAAAAAATGTTAAACAATGAATGTTAAACGGTAATATTTGTGAATTAAATTTTAATTTAAAGTCATATTTAAGCAAAAAGTGAGATCGTGCACATGTAAAGCAAATACGTGTCAAACGATTCAGCGATTTAAAAAAATTCTACGAGGTAAGTAAGATGTGCATAACATGACAGCACTTGATAAATCTTATTTTGAAATTAAAATAAAAATCTCGATTGTTACATTAATTAAAAATTATATATGTACCGTTGATAAACTTCCGGGTTCTTAGTCGGAAACAGTTCAAAGCTACAGAAGTTCTGCTTAAGACGAGTCTTCTTCTCGATTATACTTGTTAACTTGATCGCCTGACCCCGTGCCTTGGGGGCCCCACTTTGACACTCATTTCGTAATGGGTCACGATCGATCCTCTCGTCATTTACTACTCGATGCCTCATAGCACGTATCTTCACGGCAGACTCAAGTAGACTACTTTGAATTGCTCGAATGCTTTATATGAATGTCGCGTGCGTAAAGAGCATGACGCAACACCTCTAGCTCTTTGCCCGTCGGTACTCAATCTATAACTCTTACATTCTTTCTTTCAAGATTCTCCTAACTTTTTAATGGGCTTGGTAGAAATATCTTTCTACTCACGTGTACGACCTTAAGTTGAACAAGATTCGCAGTTGTGAGCAATGCCATTCGGCCAAGCGCATTATTTATTAACTAAAAAACTATGATAAGAAAAAAACAAATCTGCCTATGCTTTATAAATAAATATATAACGAAGTACAACATTTACGTAAAATATTTTTTGGATATCTATTGCTTTCAAAATAATTCAAGGGCACTTTTTACCAAGTCCGAACCGAACTTAATACAAAGCCCAATCAAGTACAAGCAAATGGTATCTCATAAAAACTGAACATATAATTACAGCAGTAATGAACACCGCACATAGATGTAAAATAACAGTAACACGAAGCCAGCTCGTAAAACGTAACGTCTCGCGTACAAAACCAGAAGCCGTCAGTGGCTGTTTTGTACATGAGATGTCAGTTAGCCGACAGTAGTCTACAGGTTAAAACGGACGCACGTATTGGCACGACGCATGCGTATGGAGTAACGAACGAAATGAAAGCTTTCATATGACGTCATTCAAAATATCTGCCGATCAGTTTAACGTAAATCCAGGTAATTATCGATCCATTGGGATATTTACAAAATCCTGAAATTGAAAATAGAAGCAGTGGTTCCCTAACTTGCGTGATTATGTGCATTATCTAGTGAAGAACATACAATAAACTCATCATAATCCCTGTGGTACGATAATTTAGTGATACATTTTTTTTGGTTTATTATAATTTGCCATTCAGAAATAATTAAAATGATTTGAACAATTTTAGATTTACGTATGCTTATGAAAATTAAATTACATTAGAATAGATCGGCTTTTCAATTCGAATAAATTTTATCCGTAAACAACTATGTTCTTTTATCTTGATTATTCAGTCTCCGTATATTTTATCATTTAGTACTTATCACTTTAATTATTTTTATTATTGTATATATAAGTCAACACAACACCTACAGCCCTTTTTACAACAAATTTCATTATCATATACCATAAATACGTATGTTGATTTGTAATTAATTTACGTTACTTTAGTTTTATTTTATTGATTTTCTTGTATGTTATGCTTTCTTCGTAAATTGTTAGTTGTATTTATTATTATTTTTTAATTAAAAACAGATAATTTTTTAATTATCGAGAAATATGTTATTTGAAAAAAAAAGAAATCCATCTATTGGTCGATTTAAAATACAATCTTCTTCCTTTTTTACCTTTTCATCTTTATTTTGTAAATACTAAAAAAACGAATCGTTCATCTCCCTTTCTCTACTCTTGTCCATTGCCTTATTGTTGCTTCTTTATAGTTACTTCATTGTGACACAAATCTTTCCCGCAGGCAAATCCATACAGTAAATACAGAGAGAAATGCATAAATGTTCGAAAAAATGTGTAATAACTTGATTCAATTTAATAAAACTATGGAACATACATCGTGAATAAAAATAAAATAATAAAAATATAATGACATAATCACTTGATTTGATACAAATATATTGCTTTATTTACTTGGTTACATACGTGATTAAAAGTCAAACTCATGGTTGGTAATAAAATATATTAAGCAAAGGGTAATTTATTGTTTATAATTAATTATATTTATTTGACAATAAAATGTTAATGATAATTAACAAAATTAATTTATTTAAAAGAAATGGAAAAATATTCTAATTCATTTGCATTTCTTAAATAAATTATTTAAGGTGTCGAGAAATACAATATTTAATTACACTTTCAAAAGGGGAAAATGTTTGTACTTATATTATTTGTATAAAATATAATAGAAAAAATATCTTAAATACAAGCAGAGAATTATGAAATGATTATTTCTTAAAAGTTATTTGATTAAAATATTTAAGAAACGTTTGAAAATAAATTATCTTCAATTAGTAATACGTATATAGAAGTTAGATAACATTTTTCGATTCAACTTCGTTATTTGGCAAAAATGTTAATTTTGTGATAGCTACTATTATGATAATTTTATAATAAAACTCAAAAATAAAATGCAAGAGCAAAAATACCTTAAAAAATTATAAAATAGTTTCATCACTTCATGTTAAATAATTTATTTAGCTATTTAATTTTATGCTTTTTAACGATTTTTTTTTATAATTTTAGAAATATTCAGAATTAGTATTAAGATTTTCAAAATACCACTATGCTTTCTAATTCTTATATTATGTTAAACTGCTCGTACCATTATTAAACCCACTTCTTAATTTTAAATCGTGAGTAATTAATTACTACTTTTAATCGAGTGGCTTAACCTAGTAAAATATTTTTATAAATGGAATTTTTTAATATAAAGTATACAGATTTGGAACAACAACTTTAATTGTGTAAATTTACTAGTATAATGTAAAAATGTGAAATTAAATTACAATAATTATATTTGAATACATTTATTAATTGTCTCACTTCTTAATTTTGATCATTATAATCTAATTAGCATTTGAAATATACTTTCACAAATAGAATTTATTTTAACTTGTGAAAGCTAATTATTTAATATCTTTAACATATTAGACTCAAAAAGGTTATTTTTAAGAGACTTTATCTAATTTTAAATCTTTGAAATTAATTTTAAGTAATTAGCTAAATAAAAATAAATTATAAAAATCTTCTTACGAACCAAATTTTCATATTTTATATTTATTTTGAAACTTGATTTCAATTTGCGATTTTTGTATTAATATATTATGAATTTTAAAGTACTTCAATTTTATCGATAAATAATTTTGGTATGGCTATGTTGATATAATACGATACAAAACAATTTATAAATTAAATTCAATATAATGTATTTATGAATTTATTTAAAATTTTAAACAAAACATAATGGAATTTCATGTGTATAGGATATGATACAGAAATGGATGAATGGAACATGAAGCCAAAAAATAAAACAAACAATTTCTTCAGTAATTTATTTTTCTTTTCGCAATGCTTATATTACAAAACATACTTTTTCAGACACATTGAAAATATGCTCTATTTACACTGGATGTGTAACATCTCGTCTTTACAGGAATAATTAAAACTGTAATATTATGTAATAGGTATTCTCATAGGCATTCGTACGATAATATATGATTATGGCAGTAAATTTACAATAGTCTATTATCATTTGCGTAATTATTATACGTTTGTTATATGTGTAATGCATTGTCATTATGTGTGCGATAAGAAAGACAAAATCAAATAAATCTTTACTCACTCTATTTTACTCCTAATTCATTGCCACATATATTCCGCTCTACGTTAGCTAAATATTGTTCAACATAGATCAAAATAAAAATTAAAAGCGAACGTTATTATTCAATACATTGTGACAATGATTTTTAAATGTCTTATCTATCATATTAAAAATCAGAGAAAAAAATGAGAAAACCATGGGTTACTGAAGCAAATCGTTCAATTCAACTATTTAAATTATTGTTTTTTTAATGATTTTATTATCAGCAAATTTTCAACGATCTATTAATTTTCCAATAACATGCGATACGTTGCGAAACCGATAAGCTTAAGAGCAAAGCACATAATTCGATTGGACCTACATGAGAATTTAGTCCATTCGATTTTACTTTATTTATTTATCCTTTTCATTTTCTTTGTTACAAATTACAAAGTTCTTGCACTAAAACTTTTTAAGTGAGAAAAAGGAATGGAACTATGTTTAAAAAACAAAGTTTGCTCTAATATTGTCTAAGACTGCTTTGCAATTCTTATTTTTCTCTCATTTTTTCATTTTATTTCTAAGTTCTTCTTTAATTCTAAGTTTACAAAGTTACAGTTATTACAATAAATGCGATGTTTTGTTTTTCTTGTTTTCAAGTAATTATACACCTTGAATACGTTGAGAAAAAAATTTACTCTCTACTGTTACACGCCAAGCAACTATATATGTACAATGCATCAATTGAATCCTTACACCTTAACGCTGCGTCTTTATATCTCGAATAATACCCTATTTGTTTAATTGTAGAAAAAGAAATAAGATAAATGAAAAACGCCGACTTTGTACGGATTAAGAACAAAATAAAAAAGTAACTGAAAGAGAAGGAAATAAGTGTATATGTTAAACGAGAGTTCGCCGATATGCTTTCCCCCGATTAAAACGTAAATTAAACTTAAAATCTAATTAAGAGTACAATTTTTTTATTTTCAACGCAAGAATCACAAAAAATTATACTAAAGGGTACGCTTAATCTGTTTTTATTTAAGCCAACACTGAATAGTTATTTGCGGCTATCGCACAGGGTACGAAAACAGAGGTACATATATAGGTATATAAAGAAATCGTACCTTTAAAATGTCGCCCTTTTTTTTAGTGTTTTCTAGTGCAACGATTTTTCTTATATATTTTCCTTCTTTATAAAGATACTACTATAGATTCTAATATCAGCAACTAATTTCAAAGCCTATTTCGTCCCTTTAAATAACCAAATGTCATACACACAAACGTAATTCCAAAAACACTTTTCAGACAATCGATTCTCTATATATCGAGGATGATGCGAAGTTCGTTTTTCTGGCTTGACGCAAAAAACACAAATCTTGGACTCGCGGCATAGGATTAACTGTTTCCTCGACTATTTCAACTATCACCCGACTAAGAAATTTGTTTCCTTGCCTGCGATACCAACTTCAGCAACATATTGTGTCATTCTTGCTTTTACCGATGAGCTCCTTGCCGATATATACACAGTCATTCGCAAATAAAATAAAATAAAACGTATTGCATGGAGCCACTTAAGTGCTCGTAAAATCAATAAAGCTCTATTAAAAAGTATTATCTGTTTATACATAAAAAAAACTTGGTGACACTAATAAAAAAAAATCCCGTCTTGCGAGTGTCTCGTGCAGTCAAGTTATATGACCACATGGCGCTCAAAAGTCTCTTTAGTCGTAAAAAACATATCAAGATGTACTGTTTCTGTACCTCTTGTTCTTAATTTTGGCGCTCTGGCTTGTTTCCGGTGACTGCTCATCATTCTCGCTTCTACGTCTTTTCTCTTTCATTTGCTTTTCCATCGCAAGCATTGTAATCATCTTCTTGTGTGAGTCACCGACTATCCAGCCGTGTTGCTCCTGACGGTCGTCCTCTTGGCTTTCCAGAC